GAGAGAGAGAGAGAGAGAGAGAGAGAGAGAGAATCCCAAGCAGGCTCCACGCTGTCAGTGCAGAGCCTGACACGGGGCTCGATCCCACAACCCTGAGATCATGACCTAAGCTGAAATAAAGAGTGGGATCCTTAACTGCCTGAGCCACCCAGACGTCCACAACAGCCCAATCTTTAAACACACACAAAAGAAATAAACAAGAGCGTTACAAAGAAACATCCTGAGACCAAAAAACTGGTGGAAACAGGTTTAACCTCACTAGGAGTCAAATAAATGCACTCCTAAAACAAGAAATACCACTTTTCACTTAACAAATTTGAGAGGATTTGAGAAAATGAATCCAGGGCTGGTGTGGGTTTGGGAGGAGGTCTTCGCCCAGCCCCCCCTGAGGAATGTCTGGTGGCAATTATCAAAGCCACGGAGAGGTTTGTGTCCCTGTGTGTGCTCCCGGGTTCTTCAGACTTTGGAAGTGCCTTTCCTTTACCATCCAGATGGAAAGGCTGGATCTTCTGCGCCCCAGGAGGAGCCTCACAGACAGAACAGGATCAAAGCTGCCATTGAATGCCACCATGTCACAGGGTCCTTCCCTGCCTGGCTCATGTCCACCCATTTCTCCACCAGCTCAGAAGTTGCCAGCAATCAACTCCTCCCAAATGTTGATTACTTTTTGATGCAAAGATATTAAGCTTTTGGTCTAACTGCTCTTCTCCCAATAATCTGAGACCCTCCCTTACTCAACAGAGTACAGAGACTCACCAAAGCGTTTTCTGACACACTAACACAAGCTGCCTCCTGGTGTATCTGGCTCAAACCGCTAGCTAGCATTCAAAAGATCCCACCCACCCATCTCGCAGGGCACACACAGCACACTTCCATTACACATCCATAGCATAAGGACTGAGCAGGTCAGTTACAGTGTGTCCACACGAAGCCTCATCCTAAGTAAAAGATTTCAAATGATGGCTTGGAAGGTAATTTACTATGGAAAGATATTTACAGGGTAGGAAATGAAAAGGCAAGTTACAAAACAGGACATCCAGTAAGATTTTGTATTGTTTAAAAGCTGTACGTAGATAGAGAATAAATGTCAAGAGGGGAATAGTTGTTATGCCTGGTATATAATGAATGAATTTTATTTTATTTCCTATTCGTGCTATCCATGTTTTCTGTATTTTTTCTGCAATGAAGACGGATGATAACTTTCTTCCTAGAAAGGCGCTGTGCATCAGCACCCCCAACCCCATCCTGAAATACTCTTTCCCTCTGTTCATCGTGGGAGTCCACTCACTTCTTTGGGATAAATGTAAATGCTTCTGCGTGGCACAAGGCCCCCCAGACCGGCTCTGCACGCTCTTCTCCCCAGCTCTGAGCACACTGTGCTGTCTGCAGGCACCCTGGCTTTGCACCCCTGCCTAAGACACATTTTATGTCTTCTCTTCCTCCTCCTCTTCAAGCCTCCTTACCATCCCTCCCATATTGAGCAGTTTTGATTTCAGGCCTTATGTAAGTACTTTACACCTGTACCAACAAGGAATCCATTGCAGAAAACCCCACTTAGACTGGTCTAAGCGTTGTGCAAGGAGAAGTCTTTATGAATCTCAAGAAAGAGTATAGGGCTTGTATGAGAGCTCAGAAGCCATCGGGTCCCCAGCCTCTTCCATCCTTAATGTGTAGGCTCTAAATTCATGCTTGTGCCTCACAGTCACAAGATGGCTGCTGCCTCTCCAGCATTACATATCCCTCCCAGGCAGAAGACAGGAAAGAAACAAAGAGATTTCTCCTAGCAAGGTAAATCGTCCGCAGGGACTTCTGTATATACAGCCAGAATTGTCACATGTGTCCTTCTAACTGCAAGAGAGGCTGGGGCCATGAGTGTTTTACCTTTCCAGCTTCCATGGCAGTAAAAGTTAAGAGGAAGGCATTATGGATGGCTTTTGTAGCTAATCTACAGTGCTTCTCATACACTTCCAGCCGTTCCAGTCATATTTAATCTCAATTCCTTCACAGCAGTACTTTGAATGAAAGGTTCCCATTATGCACATTTCGCCAATGAGAACACCCCAGGCTCAGAGATAACCTTTTCATGACCCAGGTGTGGCATGACCTCCTCTTGGAAGAATTCCTTGTCTGCCCCAGCCCCAGGTGGAGTTACCTATATGCCCTTCCTCTTGCATCTTGGGCCTGCATCCATGTTGACCCCTCACTGTTCCTGAGTGATTGTGAGCCCCACCAAGGAAGCCTGTGTCTCTTGCACCCTCAGAGCCTGGCAAGGTCACAGCCTGTGCCTGGGAGCGGCTGCTGAATACCCAGGGCAGTGGTGACCTGCTCCACTTGGGAGGCCTAGCCCCCTAGGGTGCTGAAGCACTGCTTCAGAGGACAGAGGCAAGTCAGACCGCCCGAAGACCTGCCCCACCAGAAACAAGGGCAACATCCGTGCACAGTGCGGCCAGAGCCCAGCTCAGACTCCCTGTGAGCTGTGGACTGCACCGCCCCTGAGGCCCTGGGGTGGGGGGGAGGCTGGCGCCCAGAGCATTCCCCTAGGGCAGTGCGAAGGGAAATTGTAAGATCCTCTGCAATGTGGTTTGCATTACTGCAGCTTCAGCCATGGAGGGGGCTCCTTGAGTCGGGCAGGAAGCAGAAAATATCAGATTTAGATCCCACATTCCGTGCATTGTATACAATTATCCACTAGAGCTGCACAGGGGCAAGCAGGACCCACAGAGACAGAAAATGGAGTTGCTCTCAGGGACGGGGTCACTCTATGGTGGGGGAACCAGTCATATTCTTGGCAAGCACCAGGAGCGCCGTGTCCCCCCCGGAGTGTGCACTCAGGAACCCTGGGCCAGGGCTGAGTTTCACTCTCTGCAAGGCACTGGTGACTGGCAAGCTGCCAGCTGTAGTGACAACAGGGGAGTCCCCTTCTTCACACACACACCCCCACCTGTGCTTGGGAAGTATGTGCTTCCCTAGATCTTCCTGGGCTGTCTTCTCCACAGGCTCAGTGCAGGCTCAGCCCCAGGCGGCTTCAGCAGCTTCTATCTACGACCCCAATATCAAGGGCTCCAACCCCATGGGGCTGAGCTTCCTGTCCACTGAGCAGCTTGCAGGACCCAGAACAGAGGTCCAGCTCAGGAGAGAGAGAGAGAGATGGGGGGAGAGAGAGAAGAAAGAAAGAAAGAAAGAAAGAAAGAAAGAAAGAAAGAAAGAAAGAAAGGAAGGAAGGAAGGAAGGAAGGAAGGAAGGAGAAAAAAGAAAAGAAGAGAGAGAGGGAAGGAGGGAGGCAAAAAAAAAAAGGAAGAAAGGAAGAGAGAAAGAAAGAGAGGGAAAAGGAGAAAGGGAGGGAGGAAAGAAGGAGGGAAGAAAAAGGAAGGAAGGTAAAGAGAGAAAGAAAGAAAGAAAGAAAGAAGAAGAAAAAAGGAGAGAAAGAGGAAAGAAGGGAGGGAGGCAGAGAAAGGAAGGAAGAGAGAAAGAAGAAAGAAAAGACATAAAAAGAAAGAAAAGGGAGGAAGAAAGAGGGATAGGAGAAAGGGAAGGAGGAAGGAAAGAGGAAGAGGAAGGAAGGAAGAAAAAGAGAGAGAGAGAAAGAAAAAATGAATGAATGAATCCATGAAAAGGTCACGAGAGAAGCAGAGAGTAGTTTTGTGATGGAGTGTGGCTACCGGCAGAAACCAAGCAGAATCCTGTCTTTTTAGTTTCTCGACATCAGAGCAGCACCCACACATTGACTAATGTCACTCTGTGCCCACCCTGGCCTCCGAGCTTTACAGGTGTCCACAGAGCTGGAGTTTGTCCATAGGAGAACTGGGGGGTGGGGGTGGGGAAGGAAGGCTGGTTCTTTGAGAAAATGCAGTCAAGCAAAAGCCTCCCCTCCTCTTCCCAGAGGATGGAAGCATCGTGGGAGGGGGGTGTCATTAGGCAGGGAGGGTACCTGGAGAGAGGGGTCTGCACCCGCACCCAGCTCTGTGAGAGGGAACCTTTGGGGTGACAAAGACTTGCTCCTTGGCCAAACCTCAGGCTCCTCTGATCGTTCTCCTCCAATTGGCCTTGCCCTTGACCCCACTCTCCTCCTTCAGCCTGCGTGGATGGCCCAGTCTTAGCAAGAATCCCGTTCAGTCAGTTGACAGACAATCCCCACGGGGAATTCGGACCACCCTCCATCTCTGATCACATCTCCCACCTCCGCCTGATGTCTAGGCCTTGGCCTGCCTTCAGCAAGAATCCCGGTTTAGCAAGAAACCCCCCACCCTTGCAATCTCCTCCAGTGACTTTCCATCCCTGACCCTCCCGCAGACCCTCGGCCACCCACCCACCCCAGCCTCGTCCTGGCTGCCCTGGGCCGGGCCTCATGCCCCTGTTGTGATAGCCCAGAGCCTATTTGCAGGGGTCTCGCGGAGCCTTCCATGAGGGGAGGGGATGGGGTTGACAAGGTCACAACACCTCTTTAGCAGGGGACAGCTGAAAGACAGGGAAGGCAGCTCTGAGACGCTCTTGCTGGGAAGGCCTCGGAGTCAGCCGCTGCTTCCTTAGATAACACCCCACAACCCGGTCTAATGGACCTTGTTCGCTGGGTCGTAAGTTTCCTCATCTAACCCTCCTCTGAGCATCCCCGGGGCCATGACCGGCCGCCCTGTTTCCCAACACCCTCCCCAAGGCAAGGGAGCCAAGTTATTTACCTTCTGAACCTGGACCCTCTGGGCATTCCTAAGGGTGAAACGGGCGCTTTGGGGTTACCGACTGGCCTCCTCCGTTTTTCCTGGGTGCCTCCTGGCTACTGGGTGTCTCAGGACGCTGGTTCGGGCACGGGGTGCGGGGGACGTGGGGGGCACGGGGCGGGGGAGCAGGGGGCGTGACCCAGGTAGACCAGGGCCTCCGACAGTCAGTGCTGAGTCAGCGCGCAAAGTTCCAGAAAGGCCAGAAGTGCTCGGCGGCCAGCAGGGGGCGGGCCGGAGCCGGGGCCGGAGCCGGGGCGGGCCGAGCGCGCGGGGCGGGGACGCGGCGACGCCGGCGCCTGCGGGTCCCGTGACCGTGCGCCCCGCCCGGAGCCGCCGCGGTCATGCAGTCCCCGGCGGTGCTCGTCACCTCCAGGTGAGCCAGACCCCCTGCCCACGCCGCAGCGTGGACTCCGGGTGCGCGCGAACGAGCCCGACGCGCCCCGGTCGGCGGAGCAGGCGGAGGCGGCCGACTCCGTGGGCCCGCGGCCCGGCCTTCCCTGCGCCCCTGCGGTTTTTCTGGGGTCGACCGCTCCACGGTCCTGCAGGAGCGGTGGACGCATCGAGTACCCCCGTTTTACAGATGGGGAAAACTGAGGCCCTTAAAAGGGTGACGAACTCGCCCAAGACCCAGTGGAAGGCCGGGAGTGGCTAGTCCCGCAGGGAGGCACAGAGAGGGGTCTCTGCCCTTCTCTGCTGACGTGCGTTCTTTTTCGCCCGAAAACATAGTTGATACATCTGTCGGGGCTCGCGCTGTGCCAGGCGCGGTGCGCGGCACCGGGGATGCGGGTGAACTAGAAAAAGGGCCCGGCCCGGCGGGGGAACGAACACCGAGCTGCGGGGCCAGATGCGAAGCAGGGACGAAGCCGGGACGCCAGCGCGGTGTGGGGAGTAGGTTCTGGTCGCCGTAGGAACACAGTGCAAGGGCTGAACCCAGACTTCTCCGGGGTGGGTGACGGAGGCCGCGTCCTGTCCCGCAGGGAGAGTGGGAGGTAAGCAGGTGGAGGGGAGAGGCTCACGAGGTAGCTCAGGAGAAGAGCAAGTGACGCAAAGGCCTCGGAGGCAGAAGGTGCGGTGTGGGCCGCCCTGACCCAGACCGGGAGGACCCAGTGCGGGTGGGTCCTGGAAAGCCCGGGATGGACACGCGTTTACTCTTCTGCAGGGTGACTCCCTTACACGCCACTCTTGTTCCCCCTACGCAAAGTCTTGGTCTAAGATGCCAGTTTATTGCATAAATAAACATATTGCCCAGCGCAGCTGTTATTTTTTCCAGCCGTAATCTGAATTTCCCTGTGACTTCAGGTCTCGAAAAATGTAATTCCGTAAGTAAACCCTGATGCCAGAGCCTGCATGGTGTCCTGTGCATGACGCAGTGATGTCACAGGTTGTGTCTTCATTGGCAGAAGAGGTTTACCTGATACTGCGTTTAAGTCACCTCTCCCTGAGTCTTTTCTGCGAAAAGGAGGTCTGAGATTAGCAAGTATGAGTAGGGCTGGCAGCGGACGCCCTGCTCCGCCACACGCAGATGGGGTGTGACTTTGGTGCTGGGTGCTTGGGAAGGTGGGGTGGCTTCCCTCCCTGCCCCAGCCTGGACAGGGCTTGCTCCTAGTGCCGTGTGCTGGTGATGACAGCCAAGCGGGCATGCGCACTCCGCTCTGCTGGCAGGCACTGGCAAACCCGAGGGGCTGTCCACAGGGTAATTCCGAAGGCTCCAGACCAGCCCCAGGTAGGCTCTTCATGGTTGGGCCCCAGCTCAGCTTTCTGGTGCAGTGCTCACACCCACCCCCCCAAGCGTTCACACTGGCATTCATCCACCAGTGACTTACCGAGTGCCTACTCTGTGCCAATACTGGTTCAGAGTCTAGGGTACGGCAGTCACCCAAATGAAGCCCATCTCATGGAGCTTTAGTGGGGACAGTTGCACAAGCCGTAAATGGATGATGTGTCAGGAATGATAAATGGTACAAAGGAAAATACAACGGTAAGGGGGAAAGAAGGAGTGAGTGCGGTTTTGTTGGTGTGCTCTTTCGTCCAGGAGTGTTGTTCTGATAGAATGGAAGTTGGGCAGAGCCTGACAAGCTGCTTGAGGGAGAGAGCCATGATGCTTTCTTGAGCAAGACTGTACCAAGCAGGGAGGACAGCAGAGCCAATGTCCTGGGGCAGGGGGCTGCTTGGGTACCAGCGAGGAGGCCGGCATGGCTGGAGTGGCGTGGGCCTGGGGGAGTGTTGGGTAAGGCACTAAGGCACCAGTCTTAGGAGCAAAGGGGCTCACAGGAGAGAGAGAGAGGAAAGGGAGGGGGAAGGGAGAAGGAGAAGGATGGGGGACAGGGAAGACTTGCAGAAGCCTGCCTCCAGTAGGTGATGGCCTCAGGTAGGAGGCAGCCAGTTTGTGCCCGTGGCACGCAGGCCCGTTGTGAAGGGGAGCTTGCAGGTTCCTGCGATTGCTGCCCTTCTCAGTGAACTAAGAAGCAGGGCTGTCAGGGGAGAACAGGTACTGGCGGTTACTGGGAGCTTGTGGAGAGAGGCGGCTTAGACCCTGTGTCTTCTCAGCGGGTCCCAGGAGCAGCTGAGAAGCTGCAGCATCACCTGGGAGCTGGCTGGAAATGCAGACTCCCAGGTCCCACCCCAGACCCGATGTGCACACTGACTGCTTCCCTGGTTGACCTGGATGCACTTGCGGTTCGAGAAGCTTGGTCTAAGGCGCAGGTGGGCAGACGGTACCCGTGAGCCAAATCATGCCCACCTCTTGCCTTTGTAATAAAGTTTACGTGTTGTCTGTGGCTGCTGTCACACCATGTGGCTGAGTTGAGTAGTTGTGACAGAGATTGTATGTCCTGCAAAGCCAAAAATGTTTATGGCCCTTTATGGCAAAAGTTTGCCTGGGGTCTGGGGGGTGAGAGAGTGAGTGAGTCAGGCTCAGGGGCATCAGAGTTACCTGCAGTTGTTCTCAACATGCAGTTTGCAGGTACCCCCCCCCCCCCCGCCCCGGGCCTCTGTTGCACAGGAGGACTAAGGAAAAACAGTCCAGACTGAAGCAAGTCCAAAAGCTCTGAGAGAAACATGCTCAAGAAGACAAAACTGATAGATCATCTCTAGAGTTATGCTTAACTCAATCAAGGCACAATACATTTTATTTATTTTTTTCTTAAATAGTTTATTGTAAAGTTGGTTTCCATATAACACCCANGGCCTCTGATTCAGAGGCCTACTTTCTTTTTTTTTTTTTAAATATACTTATTGTCAAGTTGGTTTCCATTTAACACCCAGTGCTCATCCCCACAAGTGCCCTCCTCCATGCACATCACCCCCCTCCCCCCCACAGCCATCAGTCCTCAGTTTGTTCTCAGTATTTAAGAGTCTCCTGTGGTTTGTCCCCCTCCCTCTCCTTAACTATTTTTTCCCCCTTCCCTTCCTCTGTGATCAGAGGCCTAATTTTCCAGGTGACACAGATGTTGCAGGGACCACACTTTGAGAAGCCTGGGTCTAGACGAAGGAAGGGGTGCCAGGCCTGGGCTGCGGCTTGCAGGTTGTGACTGTGAATTTCAGGTGGGGCCAGGAGGCACGTCTGTGTGTGTCTCCCAGTCCCATCAGCCAGAGGCAGAGAGCTGGAGAATTCTGGAGGGGGCAGGGGAGCTGAGGCCAGAAGCTGTGGCTCACCAGGACCTCCCAGCTGAGGAGGTGTGACGGAAGGAACAGGGGAAGGTGGGGGGACCCTGGACTGCAGGGACAGAACTAAGAGGCAGAGAGCCAGCCTGGCAGCCAGCTCAAAGGAGGTGCCTCTCAGCAGGGAAGGCAGGGGTCCTTCACACCTGCTTTCCTCCGCCAAGGCCCCCCCGCTACACTCCCACTTGTGCTTTGTAGGATAATGATCCTAATTCCTACCCACTCCACTGGGCTCTGGGGCAACTACCTGGGTGTGCACTCTGCCTCCACCTCTGACCTGCTGAGACCCGGGCAGCTGGGCAGCCCGCTCCCTTGTGGTGCCTGGTTCCCTCCTGGGAAATGGGTCTAAGCGGTTGTCCCCCTTTGTAGAGCTGCCAGAGCGGGAGCGACTTATGTCAGGTCCGCAGAGCCTGCAGTAGTGCCGGCTGCTACCAGGCGCACATTTAGTCCGCTCTGCACTCCCGCACCGTGTACACCGTGCGCAAAGGTGTGTTTTCCCACCTTGCAGGGGTACGTTTGGGCTCGCCTGGGCCTTCCTATTTGATCTGTGCTCATTCCGGCGTGCTCGTGTCACGTGAAAATGTTCTTGTGTGCGCAGGTATGTGTGGCCAGTGCGTGTGTATACTCTTCGTATGCACTTGTCCTCGCTGCTGGGTGACAAACAGCATCACCACCGTGACAGTGTCATGTGCCAGCGTGGAGGTGGGAGGAATCCACGTGGAAGGAGTCCTGGGGGACAGAGTGTCTTCGATGCATTTGGACCTTAGTCTGAGAGGGAAAGGGCCTTGCTCTGGTACAGTGTTAGCCCAGAAGCGCCCTCCTCCTCAGTGCATCCCTTTGCTCGTGCTCTGGAGGTCCTGCCCAGCACATAGTAGGTCTCAACCTTGATGAGGAGGGGCCCCGTCGTAGGTGTTTGTGTGATGTGTATTTGCCTGCATCACACACATACAGAGGACAAGGACGCTCTTACCATTTTTTATCACTTCAGAGGAAATGTCTCATGACTTGGCGGCCCCCCATACAGTTCAGCATGTTTCTGCAGCATTAACAGGTTCTGCAGCATGTTTTGCCGAGCACACCCTCTCGCAGCCTCGTACGGCAGCCTTCTCAGTGCCGTGTGCCCTACACTCAGTGTCCTCTCCATCCTCCCCTGCTGGACAGGTTCTGTAGTAGCTGGGTCGCCCCCCAGGTAGAAGAGCTGTGTGTCTGCCCAGGTTCCTGGAGGTATGTCATTCTTGCACTGGTGCAGGAAGCCATGCCCTTTCCTTGGTGGGAATAACACCCCCACATGCCTCCCCTCCATCCTTCAGGGGCGCGTGCGCTGAGTGTTAACACACCTTCCCATTGGTGATTTTCCATGAGCCCCATCTCTGCTCCCACTCGTTTCCCTGCTGGGGACGGCCCCTGGTCAGGGAGCAGCCCAAGGGCACGGCCCAGGCCTAGGGCTCGGGAAGCCAGGCCCTGGGAGGGGCCGGTGTGCAGTGGGGCAGGTGGCCTCAAGCGGTGACCGCCTAGGACAGCCAGCAGAGGAGGCTCGTACCCCAGGCCCGCAGGTCCGCCCTAAGGTCCCGTCTGCGTTTCGCTCCAGAGCCTGCTGACTTGAACCTGAGCTTCCTTTGCCTTCTTTCCCTTTGGCAGGCGAGTTCAGAATGTCCACACGGGCCTCGACCTGACCGTGCCCCAGCACCAGGAGGTGCGGGGCAGGATGATGTCGGGCCACGTGGAGTACCAGATCCTGGTGGTAACCCGGCTGGCTGCGTTCAAGTCGGCTAAGCACAGGCCCGAGGATGTCGTGCAGTTCTTGGTGAGCTGGGGGCCCTCCCAGGGTGCTCCTGAGGGGACCAGGGGACTGGGTGCACAGACACATCTACACCAGGGTGTGAGCAGCACCAGGGAGAGGGCACTTCTCTAGCCAGCACTCGCTCCGGGCCCGAGGGTGCCGAGCGTGCTGGGCCTAAGGGCACAGGAGCGTTTCAGGAGCTTATGGTCGGTAGGGAGACAGAGAGAGGCCGTGACAGGAGTGCACAGGGCTGTGGGGGTGCAGAGAAGCAGCACCTGACCCACCCTTGGGAGACGTTCTGGAGGATTTCTGGAGGTGAGGACCGAGCCCGTAGAGCTGTACAGCAGGAGAAGGGAGTCCCAGGCAGAGGGGACAGTGTAAGCAAAGGCATGGAGGCTACAGAAGGGTGTTGTTTGTGAGGAGCTGTGTGCCGTTGAGTGTCATCCTGGATGAAGTGGGAGAAAATGAGGGTGATGACGGCGGGATCCAGGTCACGGGGGGCGTGTAGGGAGCCTGACTTGGCTTGCAGCCACAGAGGACCTTGAAGTAGGGGAGTGACTCACTGGCCCATCTGGTGGGAAGTAGGGTTGGGTTGGAAAGAACTGGCCAGAAGGCAGGGAGCCCAGGTATGAGCCCAGTGATGCCCCAGGGGAGTGCTGGAGACAGGCCAGCAGGAGTTGGTTGTAAAATACTAGTGTTTCCAAAGTAACATGCATATCATTTGCTGACTGACTGCACCAACTGCAAAGCACCGGCTGAGGGGCAGGTCCTGGGGGATGTATGGAGTGTGAAGCATCTACCTGATGGACACACGAGGCTGCAGTGAGGGACTGATCAGGCCTAGGAGGCCCATTGGAGGCCAGCTTGGAGGTGATGTTGAAAGTCTGGAGTGGATGAGGTTGCCTGGAAAGAGTAGATATGAAAGGCAGAGGGAAGGACTTAGGAGGAAACCCCAGACACACAGGCAACTCAGGGACAGTCACAGAGAAGGAGGAGCCCCTGAGGCCAAGGGAAGAGAAGGGGACATCGTGGAGTCGCAGGAGCTCAGGGAAGAGAGAGTCCTGTGGTATATACCAGAGTCCTGTGGTATAGACAGGATCAATAGCTACAGGTCTGCACATGGTTGGTTCTGACTGTCCTGGCCACCAGGACAGAAAGGAAAAGAGTGAATTACCTAGCTCTGGTGACCTATTAGAAGAGACACCACCTTCTAAGAGAGAAAAATGTAAAGACACAGGTCTTCAAGGGGTATTTAGATGGGAAGCATCTAAAAGAGCATGAGGTCTTTCATTTGCTACTTAACTTGACCTTTTTTAAACTTTATTTTGAGAGAGAGAGAGAGAGAGAGAGAGCAAGCAAGGGGAAGGGCAGAGAGGGAGGGAGAGAGAATCCCAAGCGGGCTCTGCACTGTCAGCGCAGAGCCCAATACAGAGCTCGAACTCACGAACTGTGAGATCGTGATCTGAGCCGAAACCAAGAGTTGGACACTTGACCTGAGCCAGCCAGGCGCCCACTTAAATCGATGATGTTTGGGAAGAATTAAGGTCTAATGTTAGGTGCTGGATCTGGTTCTGCTTGGCTCTGAGTGCTGGGGTTTTGCAACTCCTGATCATCTGATTTGACCCACCGTGGAGCTGAACACACACGGTTTCATGGCTGGGAGCAAAAGGAGTGTCTGAGGTCATTGTCTTTGGGCATAACAGAGAAGCAACATTCAGTGAGCCCTGGTGAGGCCATCCAGGCAGGTCTGCCGGGTCCTGTGTGAAGGTCAGCCTTATGTGCGAGGCTGTGCGTGAAGGCATCTTCACACCCCATGCATCACACCGGTGCCACTCTTTTCTGACCAGCAAGAGCTGCGAAGGGTGTAAGTGCATGCATGGGTGGCCATTCGTGCAGGTGCTTCTCAGACATTTCGAACCACCTGTGAGGGCAGAGGAGGAATACATTTATCCTCCAGGAAATCTGAGGACACAACCCAGAGCCTCAGATCTCTGAAGTTTCATGATTTAGCTTTTAAAAAGGGGAGGTGGGGGCATTTTGCATTCTACTCCTGAAAAGGATACATATTTCAATATAAACATGAATTTAACTGCTCATGAGAAAGTAAAAGCGGCCTCCAGAAAGGGGCACGGGGTGTGCTTGCCGTTTCTCGGCCTGGCGTGTGCTGGTGTTACAGACACACACACATCTCCCCCGGAGAGGCTCACCTGGGGGCTCCAGATCCACAGCAGCTCCTATCCTCTGCACTCACAGCCTCCCCTGAGCCTCCTCTCCCAGCTGTTCAGGTAGCTGCTTGAGAAGCCCTTGCATTGGAGCACTGATGAATGTGGGTCCTGGATGGGGGTGGGGGGTGGGCACCCCTGACTTAAAACTTCCTGGCCTCCTACACTATCGGAGCTCTGGAGACCCTACCCCTGGTGGGTCTGAGTGATGGATCGCGTGGGCCTGTCGGGCCAGCAGAGGGCGCTCAACCCTCAGGGTCACAGCTTCCCTTATTGGGCCGAGTTGCTGCCTGGCGGGAGTCACTGTTCTCAGGACCCAGGGGCTGGAGCCTGCATCTCTTCCCTTAAAGGATCCTTTTACTTCTTTGCTTGAGGACTGTTCTCAGGACAGCTCCAGAGCCAGCCTCTTGTGTTGGGACCTGCAGGCTGCAGCAGCCTGGCCCAGGGAACTCCCCATTGGTGCGGGGAGGGGGGTGGGCAGAGAAGGGGGCTCAGGGTTTAAATCCCCCCAGTGCCCCTGCTGGGCGGCTGAAACCCTCACAGGCTGGGGGTTCTGGTGAAAGGCGGAGTTGGCCGGGGCTGCATGCTCCTGTGCCCCCGGATCGCCAAGTTTCCACTCAGCACCTCCAGACACCCCAGAGTCCTCAGCCACACCAGCATCAGTGCTGTGCTGTGGGCTTGGCCCTGGCCCGGGAGCAGAGGCAGCACTGTCTCTGGTTTTATACTCAGTGCTCCCTCAGAGGAGCTGGGGAGCCAGGCCCAGCATACGGAGGGGAGCACAGAGTCCAAGATAAGGGATGATGCTGGCTGTTGGTGGGTGGGTGTGTGGCTCAGAGCAGGTGCTCTTTGAGCGTCCACACTGGGTTGCAGACTGCAGCAATGCCTCTGACCCTCCGTGCTGCAACTACTCCCCAACACCTCCCCATGTGCAGGGCCTGAGCCTTATAGGGGCAGAGACCATGCAGGCAGGGGTGGCCTCATGCAGTGTGAGCTCAGCTGGAAACTGAGTCTCAGGGTGAATTCAGTGGCCTGGGATCACCTGCCGGCCTGCTTCCCCGAGGCCCCAGGGTGCAGTGGGGTCCTGACTGACAGCAGTGCTGAAAAACAAGTTTGCAATATCCAGTTCTTCTCCACTGGAGCACTGTAGGGATGATCCCAGATAGAAGGCTACTGCTTGCACGCGGGAGAATGATCCAGAGATCCGTGCTGAGAAAAGGTGACTCATGTCGTTGTCGGAAGATGACCTAACAGCCGGCCAAACCATGAGGTCACCCTGCTGATATGCCGAAGGCCCAGAATGGAGGCAGCTGGCCTCCTTGGTCACTTGTAGGCCAGGCCGGGGTCCCTGTGTCAGATGTCTCTTCCTGGACCTGTGGTACTGCCTAGAACCCACCACGGCCTTATCTTCTCTCTGGCTACTCAGACTTTCATAATTGAGCCTAGCACTGATCAGGGGGTGTCGGGAATGGAGCCTGAGGCATGATGAGGTGGGGAGGGCCGGAGGTGCCCCAGGGCATCCGTCCTGGGAACAGGCTCTCCAGCCCGGCCTCTGGGTGTCCGGTCGGGGCGAGGGGGAGAGTACTCAGGAAACCACACGCTCCTCTCATTCCAGGTCTCCAAAAAGTACAGCGAGATCGAGGAGTTCTACCAGAAACTGAGCAGCCGTTACCCCACAGCCAGCCTTCCCCCGCTCCCCAGGAAGGTCCTGTTCGTTGGGGAGTCTGACATCCGGGAAAGGAGAGTCCTGTTCAATGAGATTCTGCGCTGTGTCTCAAAGGATGCCGAGTTGGCAGGAAGCCCAGAGCTGCTAGAGTTCTTAGGTACCTGAGGCTCTGTCCCAAAGCCCTGAGGTGTCCCCTGGCCCAGAACTAGGCCTCACTCCCCTGGCTGGGCCAGTGTGGGTCCACGGCTGCTGCGTGCAGCCAGGAAGCTTCAGTCAGGCTGTTGAAGCAGGTGGGCCTTACCCCTGCCCAGCCAGGGTTGTGTGCAGGGGGAGGCTGGCACCTGTCTTTGAGGACTGACTGCCCGGGTGCCAGACGGGGCTCATATGGGTCTTCTCTGTAGTCTGACTCCACCCATTCCCCTCCTGGCATCCCCAGAGCTCCCCCCCCCACCCCACACACACATTCCATTTTGTCTCCTGCCAGCCAGCCCTGGGGACCTGGTCCCTGGGGACACCTCCCTCAGCTTGTCCCCCACAGACATGGGGTATGGTGTCATCTGCCACCTCCTTCCCTTCTGAGTTTCCTTAACTGTCAGATGGGACGATGCCTGGCTGCCAAGGGGCATGAGAATCCAGTGAGCTGACACGTGCAAAGCACGTAGAACAGAGCCTGCTGTACAAGGATGGCTGACATTTTACCCCCCACTCGGCACACCCAGGCGCCATCCAGGCTTGCACATCCAGGGCAGATGCAGTGCCTGTGCGCCCCTGGGTGGGGAGGGGTCCCGTCAGGAGGTGCTGGACTCTCCCCCTGACTTTCTCCCCTCTTTGGACCATTCTGTTTAACTCTTCTTCCTAATGACCGTGGTCTCTAATCTTCACAAGATGGGAGCTTTTCAGAAGACAATTAACAAACAGCAAATACACCAAAAAACATATATGTGTGTGTGTGTGTATATATATATTTATATACATATATAAATTTATTTATATATAAATATATGTTTATATATAATTTGTATATAAATATATATATTTAATTTATGTTGTATATATTTATATAATATATAAATATATATTTAATTTATATCATATATATTTTTATATATTTATATAATTATATATAAATATATATAATTATATAACTTATATATATAAATTTATAAATATAAGTATGTACAATTATACATACATATATATAAAATAATTATAACGAGTGAGGAATAAAACAAAACCAGTGAATGCACAGAAGGCTGGGACTGGGTAAGGTTGCAGAGCCCAGGTTTCTCCTCTCCTTTCCCATCCCCCCCACCTTGGGCCTGTGGGCCCCGGGTTGTTTGCTCTGACATCACAACCTGTTTGCCTCCCAGGGGGCTGTGTTGACTGTGAGATGGGGACTCCAGCTGATCCATAATTGGGGGGCCCCCTCTGTTATGGAGAAAAGGATAAGGTGGTCTGACTTTCCTAGCTTTTCTGTGCCTCAGTTTCCTCATCTGTAAAGTGAAGGTGCAAACAGGATCTCTCACATGGGATTTTTACATTCAAATAAATCTATACCTGAAAAATACTCTTTAAAAATTTTTTCTTTATTTTTTTAGAGAGAGAGAGAGACAGCACACAAGCAAGGGAGGGGCAGAGAGAGAGGGAGACACAGAGTCCGAAGCAGGCTCCAGGCACCAAGATGTTAGCACAGAGCCTGATGCAGGGCTTGAATCCACGAACTGTGAGATCATGACCAGAGCCAAAGTCAGATGTTTAACCAACTGAGCCACCCAGGTGCCCCTACCTGTAAAATGCTTCTTACATGGTGCCTGTTACATGAAATTTTATGACATTTTGAATGGTATTTTCACATCTGTCCTAATAAAATAACAAAGGATAACATAAGGCAGAGTATCATTACTGCTTAGTTTTACTTATTATACTAACACGTTGTTTTCGTAAACGTGTTAATACCCTACATGCCAGGCATTCTGTAAGTTCTTTATCTCAGGATGATATTTTTTTTTTTTAAAAAGGAACTGCTTTCAAAGATCTACCACTCAATGACTATTTAGGTAGAGAGGAACAAGTACTAAGCCCGTTTTTCATTCCATCTGTGGGGAAGAACTAGCTTTTGTATTCCCAATCTGTCACAGACAGATATTTTCACAAATACAAAAATCCCATGCCTGGACGTCGTGACAGTGTCAAGCTGCTATGGAAGTTTCCGGATGCTTGCTCTCCCTTTCCGTGTTCCCATGTCGTGGACATCCGTCAACGGACCATGCTTTGAGAAGTGCTGATGTAAGCTGGTTCGTAATGGAACCATTACAGTTTGTTCTGAATCTTCCACAAGCTCACCGTGCACTCACTGGACTCGTCTAAGGGTCCAGACCCTTGGAGCAGGTCTTCACCGGATCACAGAGCTCCCTGGTGTGCCCGGCAAATGCGCACTGGCTGGCTTTTCATGCATGCAGGCTCTTCTGCTGCTGTGACACCAGCCTGTTCACAGCTCTCGCCTATAACCACTCCGCTCTAGGGCTCGCTGGTGCCCATCACCCCTCGACAGGCTGCAGCAGGTGCTTTGAGCCGAGGCTGCCCCTTGTCCTCCCAGACCCACCACCCTGGTCCCAGGATGCTGCAGGAAGTCCCCAGCTCAGGTCCTGGCACAGGAGGCTGGGTGTGGTGCCTCATTCCCTGCGGCGAGTGTCAGTCCCCTCTTCTGTCTCCTCCCTCAGGCACCAGATCCCCAGGGGCTGCGGACCTCAGCAGCCGAGATGTCTCTGTCCTGGAGGCACACAGCCAGGCCCGGGACGACGGGGAGGCTTTCGACTTCTTCGAGCAGCAGGACCAAGCAGAGGGTGAGGGTGTACCCATCCCAGGCCTGCAGGGTGACGATGCGGGGAAATCCTCTGAGGAGGAAGAGGAAGAGGTGCTGGACCCTCTGGGCATCATGCGGTAGGTCTCCCCATCCCAGATGCCCTCCTGGCTTGCTCCCGGTGATGGCTCTTCTCGCCCTCCGTCCCGAGAGTCTGAGAAAGCCTGTCTCTCTGGGTCGTCACCCCGTGTACCTGGTGTGCTCAGGGAACTGCCTCTCTGCTCACCCTCGACATGCCTACTCTGAGAACTGGGCTCAGGCATTGCCTTCTCCCTGGCCCCCGGGTGGGCCCCTGATCTCCAGCTCCGCCCTGAGTCCTCGCTGCCCCCACCCCTGACACCCCACCTCAGCAGCCCAAGAGCGCCGGGGTCTCCACCCAGCTGACCACTGATAGCCTGTGACTTGTGGCATGTGACTGGAGCTCCCTGGGCCACGTTTCACTGTTGTTAAAGAGGGGTGTTTGCCTTGGCCCTGTCTCCCCACAAGACGGTTCTAAGGCCCGTGAATTACATAGTGGAGGAGACTGAATACCCTCAAGGTGCCGACTGTGTGTGACGAAGAAGGTAGAGTGAGCCCTGGGGTCCCCTCTCCATGCCCGTGCACGCACACAGGCGCACACACACGTATGCTGCCTGGAGAAGAGGGAAGCCAGGTGCCGTCTCAGTGGTCCCTGGCGTCCTGATTCCTTCTCCTTTCCTGGCCCTCTGACTGCTTTACCAGTCACCGAGCTGCGCTCAAGCCCCCACTGTGTGACGTCCCCTGTGCTGGGGGTAGGGGGCCACAGGCAGGATGAGACGAGAGAGACCTCTGTTCCCAAGGCCTGCCTGATGGGCACAGGCTGGGGGGGCGGGGGGGTGGGGACGGGGACCCTCCCAAGCAGACAGACTCAGCCACTCCAGGGCCCTCACTGCTGCTTGGCCCAAATCTGCGAGAAACAGATGGGAACTGGTAGGTGTTTCTTAGCACCCACTACACACTGGGCTTTGTACTTTGCACTTCACGTACTGTGTCTCATTGATGTCCTGCCTGCAAGCAGATGCTGTTATCCCATTTTACAGATTAAAGAAACTGAAGCCTGCGGAGGCCGAGTACTGTGCACAGGGTCAGATGGCTGGTAAATAATGGTACAAATCCAGTTCAGGGTCCTGGGCTGTGGTGCGGACTAGACTGCTTGGGCTTGAATCCTGGCTCTGCACTTACTAGCGTGTGTCCCTGGCAGTTTACCCCCGTCAGTCTCCTGCAGTGAAAATAGGGTGCTGCCAGCAGCTCTCTTTAGGGCTCTGGTGGTGACCGCCCTTCTCATGGTGCCAGCTTGCAGCCCGACACTTCCGCAGAGCCAGCCGCAGACCCGCAGCGACGCTCCCTCTGCCCCGATGAGAGATTGAAGTTCAGCCAACAGGCAAGGGAGGCCTGTCTCGCAGGTCCTGTTCCAGAAATCGGGGAGGGGCCAGTTCCACTTAAATGTCATGAAAATCACCAGCCCAGAAAACTGCCCTCCATCCACCAGCTTTCCTCTCCCGGAGGGGGTGTGGGTCTGGGCACACACAGGAGGGGTGGCCGCAGGGCCCCCCGTGAGACCAGCCTACAGGGGACAAGGGTTCACTCTCAGGAAAGGTCTGGTGCTCTGGGAGACACGGGACCAGAGCCAGAAGTTGGGCAGCACCTTGGGGCCCGGGAGTCAGCTCCCCCTGGCCCTCCATGGCCGCCTTGACCTGGAAGAGGGGTCAGCAGCTCTGCGGAGGAGGCAGCGAGGTTATTTGGGGAGCAGTTCGTAATCGGCACTCCTTATCGGCCTTTGTTTTGGGAAGGATAAGGCTTTGTTTGAACTCACGCTCTCTGCTGTTTTGAGTAACCACACGTAAAGCCAGACTGAGGAGTCCAGCGGTCTGCGCCAGCCTTTGGCTGAGGGTCATGCTTAGCAAAGCGGCTCCTTTTTTGGGTAGGAAAATGCTCTTTGGGGTTGGCAAAGGCCGCCCTGAATTTCCTACTTATTTCAGTAGCAGATTGTCGGGAGATGTGTCAGCCATCTGGGACCACCTGCCCCCCCCCGCCCCCCAGCACTGTCCCCAGCTCTGGGGGGAGAAGGGGGGCTTATTCCTGAATCCTGGGACAGCTTAGCACCTAAAAGGGATCCCAGAGGCCTAATAAGACCTTCTGCTAATTTTTCCATTAATGACTGGGGGACAGTAGTCAGCAATGTTGCTTCTGTTAGAAAAAGTAAAGAATAACATTTTTTGAGAGCTTGGTAAATGTGAGAAACTGATTCCTACTCTCATGAATAGGTATTTCTCTTCTTTTTCTGTTTTTTTTTTTTTTTTTTTTTTTAAAGATCATGACACACCACCTTGCTCTCGGGACCTGTGTGGGTCTGGTTTGGGAAATGGTACTCTAGGAAGCCAGTAGTGGCATCAGGCTCAGTGTGTGTGTGTGTGTGTGTCTGTGTGTGTGTCTGTGTGTGTGTGTGTGTGTGTGTGTGTGTGTGTAAGCTGAAGTTTGGAGACAAGTAGCTGATTCCAAATGGTACTCTAGGAAGCCAGTAGTGGCATCAGGCTCAGTGTGTGTGTGTGTGTGTGTGTGTGTGTGTGTGTGTGTGTGTGTGTGTGTGTAAGCTGAAGTTTGGAGACAAGTAGCTGATTCCAAATTCATGCAGGCACTGCTTTTTGTGTGGGTGGGCAGGGCCGGGGATTATCCACAGATGGGAAAACTGGGGACAGTTGAGCAGGGACTTGAGCCCCATGTGTATGTGGCAGAGCCCCAGCTTGACCTCAGGCTTCCCCCTTGGCCTCCACCCAGGGACCCAGGTGGATCTGTTGACTCTTGCACAGTGCTGCCTGCCCTGCCCTTTAGTGGGGAACATTCTGGTTTTTGCATGAGCTTATGCTTTGTACAAACATCTCCTACCCCGCCCTCAGTTCCTCTGCAGATGCGCCACCCCCCCGCTGTCCCAGATGAGTGCCACCCCCAACCCCCAAGGGTCCATCTGGGCCTGGCTCTCCAGGGTAGCCACGTTTGCAGGTGACAGGCGTCGGTCCTTCCTGCCTTGGACCCGGCGGGGCGCTGTCGCTCCACGGCAGCCTGCCGGAAGGGGGGGAGGTCGCCAGCACAAAGCCCCGTGCAGGGACTGGCCGGCTTTTCTTTGTCTCTTAAACCTGGTTTTGATTAGGGAAAAGACGAGTTGCTACACCAGTAGAAAGTGCTCAAAGATAGAAAGAGCTTTCACTCAGCCCATCACGGCTCTGCTGCTCTTCTGCTCACAGGGTTCTGGGCATCTGTGTCCCCGTGTAACCCGCGTGACTACATACACAGCGTCCGTGCCTTTAATGCTGTGCTGTTCACTGTGGATTCTCACGGTCGCTTTCCGTGTCCTGCGTTGTTTTCGTGTTTATCTCTCTATTGTAGAGACTTCGCACGTCTGCGAAAGACGGAGTTCTGCCGTAATGGTTCTGCCTTCTGCTAGAAACACTCTGTTAAAAACATTTAAAAAAAATTTTTTTTTAATCTTTATCTTTGTGACAGAGAGAGACAGAATGTGAGTAGGGGAGGAACAGAGAGAGAAGGAGACACAGAATCTGAAGCAGGCTCCAGGCTCCCAGCTGTCAGCACAGAGCCCAACGCGGGGTTCAAACTCACAAACCATGACATCATGACCTGAGCCGAAGTCGGACACTTAAGTGACTGAGCCACCCAGGTGCCCCTCCATTAAAAACACTTTTAATAGTAACTTGAATAATACAGATTAGTACAGAAAAATTGAAAATACAGTAAAAAAACCTTTTGCCACAGAGGTAAGGCTTTTGGATGTACATTTTTTAATCTATAATTTGCTTTTTTTTCCAGCTTACATACTGGGTCTTTCCAGATCAGCAAATAGGCTTCTACATTCTTAATCCTGTGTTAGTCCATTGGGTTGATGCCTTTGGCAGGTGCCTGCCTGGGGGCTTTGTGGTGTTTTCCATAGGTTTTTGGTGTTACTGGCAGTGAGGAACTTATGTGTAGAGCCTTTCCTTCTAGATAAGAAGGTTCTGGAAGGTTCTGCCCAGGGGCCTTGGTTGTGCCACTCACTTGTGTAGGATTACTCTTCAGTGAGTTTGTCCCTCTCTTTCGGGAAGGTGTTTTTGCTTTTCCAAACCCTGCTCATCCGAGAAGTCCACTGCCTCCCACCTCTGCGCCAGTGCCCAGCAAGCCCTCTTCCAGCCCCGGGTCACCGAGGACCCTCAGATCCCCAAGGGACAGGCTGGTTCCTGCATGAACATGCCTTCCCTTAAGGCCAGGCTTCCCGCTCTCTGCTCACAGGAGGGGGGGGCCAGCCCCCACTGCCCCGGGCATGGCCTCAAACGGGGAAGCTGGACATTTTTTTTGGAGTGAATCATGTATTTTGTCACAATTATTTATACAAATTTTGCCATATCTTCATAAAAGAGTCCTATGTATTTTAGTATAAAAATGTCTTAATCCCTATACTTGGATGAAGTCACTGCTCTGGGGTGACCCTCTGGCTTTGAAAACCTCCTAGCACACTTCCCGGTACCCCCAGATTTGCTCCAGTGGGGATTTACTTATTATTTTTTTCCTAGGAGAGAGAGAGAGAGAGAGAGACAGCGTGAGCAGGGGAGGGTCAGAGAGAGAGGGAGATACAGACTCTGAAATAGGCTCCAGGCTCTGAGCTGGCAGTCAGCACAGAGCCCGACGCGGGGTTCGAACCCACGAACCGCGAGATCATGACCTAAGCGAAAGTCGGACGCTTAACCAACTAAGCCACCCAGGCACCCCGGGGATTTACTTATTTTTGCCCCAGCTGTATTGAGAACTAATCAGCACATAACATTGTATGAGCCTAAGACGTGCAATGTGATGATTCAGTGAACGTATAAATTACGAAACAGGGACCACAGTAAGGTTAGCAGACACCTCCATCACCTCACAAAACTAGTTCTGGGATTTGGAAGCGAGAGATCCCCCAAGGTGGGCTGTGGAGGGGCTGTGCAGATGGCCCCGGCCGTACCTGGTGAGGTGCCTCAGAAGCTGCTTCTCCTCGGCCACCTCGCTCGGGGGCTTGGGATCCCTGTAACGTTCTGGGCCC